TATAAGTAACCATAAGACCTTAACAAAGCATGGTCTAATATATACAAGTAACCATAAGACCTTAACAAAGCATGGTCTAATATATATATATAAAGTAACCATAAGACCTTAACAAAGCATGGTCTAATATATACAAGTAACCATAAGACCTTAACAAAGCATGGTCTAACCAACTGATGTATTATCGAGAATCGTAGATAATCCATTCAAGTGGTCATGGAACAAGTATTATCAAATATTTATTAAACTGTCGTAATAAAAGTGATAAAAATAAAAAAACATTACGTTTGTCTGTTCTTAAGCGCAAAGCTATACAATGGGCTATCTGTGATGTGTCCACCACGGGTATTCAAACTCGGGTTTTAGCGTTATAAGCCTTCAGACTTACAGGTGAGCCCCGGGGGTATTAATATGAACTAAGCTTATAGAAATGCCTATACAGGATTAATGTCTCCCTCCCCTGCTGGCTCAGCGGAAACTTGTTGGCTTATAATGCTCAAAATTTAGTTTCGACACTCGTGACAGACACAGTTCAGATAGCCCATTGTTTAGCTTTGCGCTTAAATACAAACAAAAGAAAAGGTTAATGGGGGTTATTATTTCCCTGCCTTACCTCGCATATCATTTGTTTAAGGAATACTTTAATTTTTGATGCATAATTGGCCAGGTGGTTAGGGCGCTTGACTCGTAATCTGAGGGTCGCTGTTTCGAATCCCTGTCCCACCAAATATGCTCGCCCTTCCAGCCGTGGGAGCGTTATAATATAACGATCAATCCCACTATTCGTTGATAAAAGAGTAGCCCGAAAGTTGGCGGTGAGTGGTGATTACTAGCTGCCTTCCCTCTAGTCTTACACTGCTAAATTAGGGACGATTAACGCAGATAATCCTCGAGCAGCTTTGCGTGAAATTCAAACCAAAACCAAACGATGCTAAGAACGAAAATAATTAAGACGACACACATATATTGCTCGATGTTAATTGCATCTTTTGTAGGATCACATAAATCCACAAGGGGGCGACACTGTCCTTCTTAAAGGGAAGTACTCAGGTCCAACCGTTAGCAGGGGTTACTTAACATTCATGAGTCGAATTTTAATGAAGCATCGTTCTCGTATTTTTAACTGTCCAAGAAAATTCTGCTTGACCAGGGCCAACTACTCTATTTTCAGATGTCATGCAAATAACGATGTACTTCAAAATTTTCAGAATATAGCCAGTTAAAATATGGCAAACACAGCCATATTACTGTCGAGCCCAGTGTACGGAATGCCATGTCATATATTAAATTTTCCAACTTATAACGTTCTATTTATACTTCGCAACATGTAAGAGTATTGACCCGCGGATATTAACGATTGGCCTAAATTGTTACCTTCATAAAATGTCTTTTTGATCTTTCATCCTTTGTTTCATGATCCCCAGCCAGTTTTTTTTTTTATCTCGCTTCGAGCACGTGTCGTTATCTTCAAGTTGATATCAGTGTTACAACTGTGTTTATTGTTGGTCGTTTTATTATTACTATTATTCGGTAAAAAAAAAAAAGAAGTACGTAACGTCCAGTTCACTTAATGATAAAGAAAACGATTTATTTCTTCTACTACAAGTTTTACAAGTATATTTTGTACAAGTTTCACGTAGCTAACGGTAAATTTAACTTCACAACTAGATAACATCGGAATAAAAATTCTGCTTCCTTGCTAATTTTCTCGTCTGTACTGTACTTCTCATAACAGACAAAGCGACTTTCAAGAAAGTTCGTGTTTATTTGCCACGTGGTCATCTGTGACGTTACAAACTCACTCTATCCAAAAACAATACAAACGTCAAAATTGTACAACTCATAGCCTGCAACACGTATTGTTTTTTACACGTTTAGTTATATAGGAAATGGGATGAACGACTATATAATAGAAATATATTCTGCTGCTGGCTGATAATTCATTTATTTAAATTTAGAAAATGCGCAATAGTTTTGGTAGGGGAAGTACAGGGAAACGAAACGACGCGTATGATGTGTAGATTTAAGTTATTAACGTTCAGCATTACGGACCTCTCAGCTCTGAGAGACCTTCGTAATGGATCACCATTAAATTGTCAGTAGACGGTTTTGAAAACAAAAGTTTGTGTGAAATTGTGTAGATGGTGTCTTCTTAGAAGTTGTAACCTGAAATAATGAAAGCTCAAAATTACTTGAAAAGCTTGTCCACAAAGATGACAAGCGGAATGGCCGAACGACTTGACTGATCGTAGCACGTTCTCAACACTTTCCACTGAGTAACCCGATTTTAAACTTCATGGGTCATGTAGTACGAAGCTGCTCTTTTATTTGTTGATTTAAGAGTCGGGGGCGTAGCCAGACTTTTAAAAAATTATATGATTGGTCATTGGTATCAATAAAAATTAGCTTACAAAGATACTTCCTTATAGTTATCGCCCGAATGATTATGAGTCTCATTCCAAGATATATTGGAGAGACGTCTCCAGAATTACGATGAGCACAGAAAAACAACCTGTACGCACGTGCATATAATGCGTATGCCTAGCTACGTCGTTGTGAGGTTTGTAATTTCGATACATTCTATAAAAACTTTGAATTTTAACGACGATAAATATTTATGAATGGGGTTGTTGTTTTTTTTGTAAGAGTCAAAGTATTCTCGCGTCTTTTCGAAATCTAAATATATGAAGTTTAATGGTAGTTCGTGTGTTTTGCATGCGTCTCGCGCGTTATAGTTTAAAAACGTAGAACCTATGCAATTTCGACAGTTACAGCAGTTGTAGGAGCTGCGTTTTCAGACTTAACAGTCGCCACGTATGATGCATCACTCATTACCAAATACATTTTTAACTACTTCGTCTTTTTAAAGTTTCAAATAGAAATTGGCCAGCTGGTTAGGGCGCTCGACTCGCAATCTGCGGGTCGCGGGTTCGAATCCCCGTCACACCAAACATGCTCGCCCTTTCAGCCGTGGGGGCTTTATAATGTGACGGTCAATCCCACTATTCATTGGTAAAAGAGTAGCCCAAGAATTGGCGGTGGGTGGTGATGACTAGCTGCCTTCCCTCTAGTCTTACACTGCTAAATTAGGGACGGCTAGCGCAGATAGCCTTCGTGTAGCTTTGCGCGAAATTCAAAAACAAAAATATTTTCATGAATATCCTTCTACAGAAATGGCTGTGACATACCTCCAGCCATAAGTATATCAATGGATATAATTCACAGCCAAGTATTTAGGAATTGGCTATGAACCAAAATAAACATGTACTGAGCAGTCATCTGAAACAGCATGGCTTGCTCCTATTAGTTGAAAGTTTTCAAACTATTCTTATTTATTGATATTCACGTGTTATAAAATGAATATTAAAAATATTCTACATTTACTGAGTTTCTCCATATGGAACAAAATTATTCATGCTTTCTCATCAAAAATCAGCAAATTATATAGAAACGGAGATCAAAGTATAATACTTTACACATGAAAAAGACACCTGTTTAGAACAAACTGATTAAAAGTTTATTGTTATATACTAACAAATAAATCTGACAATTTAATGATCAGATCGTATTAACTTATCAACGATACATCTTACTGTCAGTGATACTTTCAGCCATTAATATCTCACAAGGTTTGCCAATTCCATGTGTTGATTCATTTACTTTTTATACAAATAAGTGTTCCACTGAACAGTTAAAATGATGTTTCTACTGCCTGTTTTTTGGTTTGAAGTTAAGCACAAAGCTACACAATGGGCTATCTGTGCTCTGCCCACCACAGGTATCAAAACCCGGTTTCGAGTGTTGCAAGTCTGCAGACATACCACTGTGGCACTGGGGGCATTAATGAAAGAGAAGCTAATGAGCATTTAGTGAGTGATTCAGTTCAGTGTCAGAAGTGAGAGTTTTGTGCTAAGTTTTGACCTAGACATTTGACAGTGACTACAGTATAAGTAATACAGAAACTGTACAAGTTATCATTAATCTCATACTAGACATATGTATGCAAGACAACTATGTTCACTGGACTGTCGTAAATCATATCGTGTTTACATTTTAAGATTTTTTAAAACAGCATCACACATATGAATCACATTGGGGAAGTGCTGTTTCTTGTATATGAGAAAAATAAGTTGACAGATAACGTAAAAGAGTCTAAGAATAACAAGACAAAGTAATCCACTTGCAGCTTCTGCCACGAACCCAAAATTCTAAGCATATTTGATTACTATCACACCTGTGCTCTTTTAATTATCATAAAAACTGAAATTTGAACCGATTTTCTTTAAACTGTTGACAGATGCTAATTCTAACTATTTTACTCTGTTCAAAAGCTAACAAATAAAGAAGGCATTATTGCTACTGGGCTAATAGATAGAATATTTGACATTAAATAATAAAATTAAATTTACTCCCTCCTTCTTTTCTTCTGTAATATTTTATATCTAAACTACAACGGCTTGTGAATAAAAAAACTAAACAATCTGAATTATACGTATCATACCTAACGAGTCCTTTGGTTCATTAAATAATAAAATTAAATTTACTCCCTCCTTCTTTTCTTCTGTAATATTTTATATCTAAACTACAACGGCTTGTGAATAAAAAACTAAACATTCTGAATTATACGTATCATACCTAACGAGTCCTTTGGTTCTGGTCCCGTATGAGAAGGTAACATGTCCTCTTCACTTATACTCATTGTTGGAAGTGTGGCCGCAACAAACTGACCAAATCTGGAAAAAAAGGAAAAGAAAGAAATTCTTAATTCAGGATATTTTTTTTACCAATTCACTAAAACTCACAGTTAAAAAAAAACTTTCCACTCAATTACGATAAGTTTTTGTCTAGACACCCATAAATCATTTCTTGGTACGTCACCCTTTTGTTATACTATCATTTCTCCATTCATCTACTACATGACAAATTTCTTTTCAATAACTACAGGGTTTATATATACATATATATATATATATATTAACAGTAATCCTTAATTCCCCTCTCTAGCCACTCAGTATGGAAACAAGAAATTAATGTGACTTAGAAGTCAAATGACACACTTAAAAATAATATACATGTGAGTTTCAGAGTATAAGTAAATCATTATTAATTCTCAAACCAGGAACATGTCCATTAGTTGATTTGGGAGAAGAACCCCATTGTCAAGTTCTACCCCTGGAAGCCCCCAGCTTAGATATTGTCTTTTAAGGTTTTTAAATTCCCTACGTTGTAACTTCTTTTGACAATGAAATCATTAATTTTTTTCTACTCCTTTATGCTCTCCCCAAACAAAAAAATCAAAAATGCCACTGTCTCAAAAACACTAATTTTGAATTCAAACAACTAGACAAATAGGAGAATGTGAATATGGTACATACAAACATCGAGATCCAGCACGGGCCCAGGTGCAAACATCCTCACTGGGCCCCCCCCTTCTCTCTCTCTCTTTTAACATTTTCAAGAATTTATTAAAAAGAAGATCCTAAATTAGGGCAGCAACGAGCTCATAAACCAGACAAAATTATGGCATCAGCCGTTTTTACCTCACAGTATAAGCATAAAAATGTTAATAAAATAACAACAAATATCTATTAAATCTATAAAGTAACAAATAAATATTAATTATTATTCAAATTATTATTTCAGTCATTCTTAATGTATCAAGCGTCTATACGCAAAGAAAAGCCAAAAACTATGGTTTTTATCATTAAATGAAGATATAGCCTAAAGATGCTTTACGGCATAACCAGGTTTCATTCACCAGTTGCCTCCTTTGTTGTACGTGTTGTATAAATAATGTTAATAATAAATTATAAATAGTCTCTGTAATGAATTAAAACGACATGTAAAAATATAGTCTAAGATACTTAAAACCATAAAAACCTACCTTCTTATATCATTCTTGCGGTGGGTGTTGTGAAGCAATGCAGCTAGTAAGTTGTAGAGGACACGAGATGAATTGCCTGTTAGCCCTGGACATCTTAACACATACAGAAGTCTTGACACCATGTCGACATCTCTTAGAATTCCTAAATTACTTCTGTGTTCACTGAAATATCACAAAAAAAAGTTTCTTAGTAAGAGCATAATAGACAGATAAAAGAATAAAGTAGAACTCTGTTCTAAATCCATATTAACCCCTTCCGTGTCGGGCTTTTTTGGGGAACGAATTAAAAAAAAGTCAGTTTTTTTTTATTTCGCTTTTTTGCATCCTACTTCAGGAAAATAATTTAAAATATGGTGAGAAATGGTTGGCCTAAATTAAGTTGAGCAAATATATTCTGAAACATAGTGGATACACCCCAAGTTATCTCAGGCAAATCACGAAATAGGTTAAACGAACCACTGAAACAGTATGTTTAATAAATCACCGCAAAAATTTAAATGGTAAGTAAAAATTAAAACAATTTTTTCCATGTTCCAATTGAGCAAAACTTTCTTCATTAACTCTCTCACAATGGCATCGGTTGAACTGACCAACTTAATAACCCATTTTGTACTTGTTATAGTTTTCATACTATAAATGTGAATACATTATGTGTATCTTAACAAAAGTTGACATACTTTCAATAAAGATTACAAGTCTCTTGTATACAAAATATTAGATTTTTTAATGAAGTATTTTTTACTATATATTTTTCTGAGAACCACGTCTAACTAATATTTGTACCATATAAGTTGTAAATCATGTAGCAAATGTGCAGCTCACATTATGGTATCGAACTACATAACACATGGAATACTCGTGAGCGTACCTAATGAAAAATTATTAGTATTCTTTATTTTACCTTATCTGGCATTCATATTTTCAAATTTTTACATTTTACTTACTTTTATAATAACAAGTAAAGAATATACGAGAAAAATAAGAAATAAACTACTTATCTGGATCTTCTTTTTTTTCTTCTATGCATTCGACCATTGATGACACTTGATCCTACTTTTTTATACTAATGGTACTACTGCACTAAATAATTTACTATTTAAATAAATAATGTATCAAAGAATGCAGAATAATAACAGGTAAAAAGCAGACAATGTCCCATAACTACCACAAATTTTCTGGCCTGCTAACTATGCAACAAGAGCCATCAAAAATCAAACTAAGCTCATCATTGTCTTTCCTATGAGAATAAAGTTTTAATTGAAAGCATGATTGAGAATTCTCAGTACAGAAAACAATGTAATACAATATGTCATTTGATATAGTAAAACTTTGGCTTTTTATTGGTTATAAATAATATAATATTAAATGTCAGAAAGAACTACTGGCAATTTCTGAAAGAGAGGATGTGACAGGTGGGTGTGGCAAGAGGGGTCTGATTTTCTATTTGATAGCTCTGTAACTAAATAAGATTGAAGGCTATAAAAATTATGTTTTGCCCAAACAATGACATTATAGCAAGCAATTTATGTTTAATTATGTACTTATTGGAGGGGTGGTAAATAAATTAGAGAAGAGGGGGATGCCTTGAGAGAAAATGTCAACTATAATACTAGGGGAAATTCAGGATTTTTTTTTATATTGACTTATAAAATTAAGAACTTAAAACTTACTTACTATTCAAAGTTGGAATATCAGCTATATTAAGCCAAAGTTATTCATATACCATGGTAAAAAAGTAGTTTAATTAAATTTTGAATTTAATTCACTAAAACATCATGATGTGCAAAAAAACATAGCTGTGGAGAAAGTGTTAACGTGAGTAGTAAAGTGTTCAACCAAGAAAATGAAACTACAAGTTTTATTTTTCTTGGTACTTCATAAGTGTGTAATTCTGAAGAGCACCAGCATATACACACAAAGTTCTAGATACTCCTTACATTATAAAACAAGTACTTTATTTTCTATACAACAAGTGACAATAAAGAAAAAGCAAATATATTCTTTTTTTTTATCAAAATTTCAAACACTCACCAGGACTCTGTAACAAGTTCATACAAATGTTCAAATAACGACCGATGCAAGTCACCTGGGGCATTCATCCATACCTATAAAACATGCATGAAAGTAACTGAAACAAAATCTTTACCATTGTAATTATGTATGTGACATAATTCTTAACTGAAATAAAATCATGACCATTATAATTATATGTGACACATTTCTTAACTGAATTAAAATCTTGACAATTATAACTATGTATGTGACATATTCCTTAACAGAAAAAAAATGTTGACTGCTATAATTATGTATTTGACATATTCCTTAACTGAAACAAAATATTGACCATTATAACTAAGTATGTGACATATTTCTTAACTGAAAAAAATCTTGACTGTTATAATAATGTATGTGACACATTGCTTAACAGAAACAGTCTTTACCATAATAACTACATATGTGATATATCTCTTAACTACAACAAAAGTGTTATAATCATGTATGTGACATATTCCTTAACTGAAACAAAATCTTGACCATTATAACTACATATGTGACATATTTCTTAACTGAAAAAAAATCTTGACTTTTATAAAAATGTATGTGACACATTGCTTAACAGAAACAGTCTTTACCATTATAATTATGTATGTGACGTATTTCTTAACCGAAACAAAAAATATATTAAATATATAATTTAAGAAATTACAGCATATTATTTGTCATCATTACTTTAAAATATGGCAGCACATTTCCACAGAAAATAAAACTAAATTCTAAAATTCGTCTTCGTCCACCCATATTTTTGATGATCGTCTACATTGTAAATGCAAATTTTTCATTTCCAAAATTCCTACAATATATGAAATACACACTAATGTTTCACTTCAACTCTTATTTTAAATTCCCATTTCTAAAAAATGAAAACAAAACTTACTTCCAAATCACAAAGAAGATCTCTAAAAGCAGCAACATTCGGAATGACACTAGATTCTCGTCCACTATCCACTGTACCGACCAAAGAAAACGTCAAATGAAGAATATGACTGTTCAATAAAGAGGACTTCTTCTTCAACAGCATGCCCAGTGTCTAATATAAAAATGCCCACAAACGAATGTTTAGTTCTAATTTAGAACAAAGAGACTGTTTCTTTTTGTTCCATCTATTCAAAAGATTGTTATTTCTGAAGTTTCTAGAATTCTTTGATGGATCAACAACTAAAGCAAACCAGTTATACGTGCACCAGTACCTGTCAACATTATGAGCCTGGCTACACTAAAATTTATCGTAGAATATACTAGAAAAAATGTGTAAAGAAAAGTGTTAAAATTTCAACTTAATGGCAGAAAATATAGAAACTTTATAACATTTGTCTTAAATGTGCAAAAAAGTATTTTATTAATAAACATATTTGTATATCTAATATAATCTAGAACTTTCAAATCTATCAATAGCACTTACAACATATCTAGATATCTCATATAATCTAGAACTTTCAAATCTATCAATAGCACTTACAACATATCTAGATATCTCATATAATCTAGAACTTTCAAATCTATCAATAGCACTTACAACATATTTAGATATCTTATATAATCTACAACTTTCAAATCTATCAATAGCACTTACAACATATCTAGATATCTCATATAATCTAGAACTTTCAAATCTATCAATAGCACTTACAACATATTTAGATATCTCATATAATCTAAAACTTTCAAATCTATCAATAGCACTTACAACATATTTAGATATCTTATATAATCTAGAACTTTCAAATCTATCAATAGCACTTACAACATATTTAGATATCTCATATAATCTAAAACTTTCAAATGATTCACAAAGAAAATTATAAAACTGATATGACCACCTTATATAGAACAATCTTCTATATTCGTTCTAAATATACACAGCTAATTAATACACACAAAAAACAATAACAGTTCTTCATACAGATATCAAAAGCTCATTTTGTTTCTACACAATCACATAACACTAAAGTCATTTAAAAAAAACAACAAGAACCTGATATCTGTGCTTCCGGTCCATTTCAATCTCTAGAGCTCTATGACTTTTTACAACACAAACCAGTGCCTTAACAGCTGCATAAACTCCTTCAACATCTTTTGCCATAGCGACCAATCCAAGCAAAGCTGCAGTTCCCCCTACATTCTCAATGGTCACTGCAACTGGCCGAGGAACAAAAGTTCGAGCTCCTGTAAAATAGTCACATATAGAAATTAAAAATTAACGTAATGACATGTACACTTTACACTAACAAATACCATTCTGTCAAAATAAAACAGCATTAAAACTCTTTGATAGATTGTTTAAACAGAGTATTCACGATGAATATACTGGAATGAACGGCAACTCCCTGTTGTTAAAAAAAAAAAGACACAAGCATAGAGGACGACATTTCAAAAGACTCCCGACAAAAGACTATTTTCGATACGAAATGTACAAACAGAGCTATCAGACATAAAAGTTCCAAACACAACTGTAATGGTTTAAAATTATTTTTTTATGTATTTCATTACCAATTACTTCATTGTAATAATGTTAAAATAACATTATTACAATGAAGTAATATAACAATATAATATTACAATGAAGTAATATAACAATATGATATTACAATGAAGTAATATAACAATATAATATTACAATGAAGTAATATAACAATATAATATTACAATGAAGTAATATAACAATATAATATTACAATGAAGTAATATAACAATATAATATTACAATGAAGTAATATAACAATATAATATTACAATGAAGTACATTACGAAATAAAATCAAGTCATCAGAGAAAGTAAATTGTTTTAGTATTAACGATCCTTTTGATTCTGTAAAATTCTTGACCTATGTAATAATGCAATAAATCCAGACTAAGGACTTGCATGTTTGATAAAAAAAATATATAGATAGTAATGTAGAAGAAATAAATAGGATTTGGTAAATGTTGAATAAAATGTGAAATATATAATAATGCACAAGTAAAATAAACAAATTCAAACATGAGTAAAAAAATATTTAAAGACAAAAGCAGTAAGGTAAACATTATGAAAACTCTATTATCAAAAATACTAAACAGAAGCAAAATAGTTTAAATTTTTAATCATAAATGAGACATAAATTTCAATCTATAACACTCGATTATAAGAAAATAAATTAGCTTTGAAAGAAAAGTTTCAAATTTTATACACTGGGGATGAGGAAAATTGTCTTATAATGTATACTGACGCAGACAAATATTATCTTCATGTTGCTTTTTTACATCATATTCACCCTCATACTGTTTTCAATAAAAGTTAGATCTTTTATCTGCATTTTGCTTTTGGATGACACTGCAACGTCCATATTGTTTCCAACAGTGTGGCAGATGGAAGTGTTCTGTCCCATTTCCTAGAATTGTCAACAGGCAATTTGGCTTGGATGTGGTGCCATCTATCCTAAAAGTCATGTACTTCCCAAGAAAGTAACCTCAATGTTGTAAAAATGCAGAGAAAATATTATGGGCAAATCAATGCAATGTAGAAAATGATCAAATATTACAACAGTTATTAAGTATTAAATGAGAAAATTTAAAATTCTGATCGTTTTTACCTTTTGCATTAAAATATAAAAAAATCCTTATTTTGTATTAGTCCTGCAAGCTTTGAAAAGGTTTGCATGGAATTCTTCTTCAAGAATCTCTCAGAAGTGCAGCTGAGTAGAAAATCAACAGACAAAAAGCTCTTACACTTTAATTGTTAGCTTTGAAAAGAAGACAGGTAATATCTGGTCAAAGTTTTTATCATATCTGTTTGTAAGCAGCAGCATATAGAGAAAATTGTCACAAATCGTTGTCCTTATCCAATTTTCCACTTCAATATTCCTCAACTAATTTTTGATATTGTTCCATCACTGAATATTCTGTAGAATTTTATTAGTTTTTTTCTCACCTTCCCAGCAGGTGACACCACCATACACCACTTTTCTGAAGTGCCAACATGTGGTTCTATTTCTCCCCGTGAGAAATTCTATAGAATTGTTTGCAGCACAATATTTCAAACTTTCCAGATTCCATTTTGCTTATATCCATACTGCTTTCCTACGGCAGCAAAAATGAGTCTCAGTATCTTTTCCTTCCCGATTCATTTTTATGCATGCACTGCTCGTGTTTACTATGTTTCACTTAATGTAGCATTCTCTTCCACTTGTATACAGATTCCAGCTGCATTTAACATTTCACATATATTTTTATTTATTAATCTCTACCAAAATGCATGTATATGTACTGTTTATAATCATAAAAAAACAAAATGCCATTCCTGTTCATCGATTGACATTTCGAAGAAGGATATTCATGAAAATATGTACATCTCAGAAGAAGGATATTCATGAAAGTATGTACATCTCAGAAGAAGGATATTCATGAAAGTATGTACATCTCAGAAGAAGGATATTCATGAAAATATGCGCATTTCCGAAGAAGGATATTCATTAAAATATGC